TAACGACCCACGGGATTTTTTTTTTTTGTATATATATATTTTTTTCGAGGGTCAATCTTGAACTTTTAAAGTTTACTCTTTTGTCTTGCTTGCTTTTCTGCTTTATATATATATATATATATATATATATATATATATATATATATATATATATATATATATATATATATATATATATATATATATATATATATATATATATATATATATATATATATATATATATATTACACCCCCTCTGAAGATGTATTATATACGAAAGTACTTAAGGAAATTCCTGTTTCAATTCTTCCTTCGTGGTCTGACACTGTTATATATATATATATATATATATATATATATATATATATTTTATATTTTGGGAGGAGGTTTCCTCTAATACACATGTCATTAAACACAACAGCATTGTGACTATTGTACTTAAATGTAACTATTGTTAATTTACTTATGGATATTTTCGATTCTACGTAAATCCCTTCAACCATCAGGAGGGTGAAGAAACGTTAGTTTACTTCACCTTTTCATTTAATTGTTCGACGTTTCGTCAGCAATGTGACAGGAATACACTTGATTGATTGATTGATTGATTGATTGATGAAGATTAAGTCGTCCAAGAGGTGGGTGACCACCTCTTGGGTCACTTAATCTATTCTATTTACGGTCTATTCACGGGCATGAATAGACCGTAAGTGGTAGATTTTTTTTGGAGTGAATGTGATATTTTATTTTAACTCTACTTTCCCTTCAAAACGCATAAATCTTTCGTCTTTCAGTTTGTCCAACTGACACGGATAGATTGAGGGTTCGAGACCCGTACATCCCAGGGAAATGGAACAGATATACTGTTTTTTTAGGTTTAGATTCAGCTACTCAGAATAAAAGGTTGCAAGTAGCACGGGCTATGGTGAGCCCGTAGTGGACTTACCTGGCTCAAGATCGGGGCTGTAACTAAGATATACTGAGCTTACACGATTCAATCCTACGCCTCACAAGACCCATGCCCATTCCTCCTCCTCATCCTCCCTTCCATTCTCCCTGTGAGGATTATTCAGAGTCATTTCCTACGTCGACCGTACGCCGACTGGACGCAAAGTTGATACCATCTCTACTCCCAGTCTTACGCAATCTCTTGCGTTCCTTCGCTTCCTGAGAGATCAACTTGCTTTCCTTCCCCCAGCGCTACGGAAATAGTACACATACATACACATATGTTGCCATGTGCCAGCACTCTCGTGGGCCAGAGCACATACGAACAGAAACAAAAGTGTACATTTCTCTCTGTCTCTCTCTCTCTCTCTCTCACTCTCCCTTTTACTTTAGCAAATGAAGCAGGCATAAACGTAAGGAAAGATCAATATATGATAATGTCAACAGTGACCAGCTTGGGTCATTAATCACTGATCAAGAGGCCTGGGTGGGTTAAACTTCCCTTAGAGGTCAAAGGATAAGGAAGGCTGAGTCATTACGTGAGAGGGAGAGGGAGGGAGGGAGAGAGAGAGAGAGAGAGAGAGAGAGAGAGAGAGAGAGAGAGAGAGAGAGAGAGAGAGAGAGAGAGAGAGAGAGAGAGAGAGAGAGAGAGAGAGAGAGAGAGAGAGAGAGAGAGAGAGAGAGAGAGAGAGAGAGAGAGAGAGAGAGAGAGAGATGGATGATGTGGGGGGGAATAGAGGGGGGACACAAACATAGTTTCACCTTTATGCGTTATCAGTATCACGTTTCATTAATCTCTTGTTGATCCCCCCTGCTCATTATTGGTGTTGTCTCTATCAATCAATCATCTGCTCTCAATTCTATTTCATTTTTTTATTAATCTGTGTCGAATTTTTAAGCTTTTTATATTTTTTCACCTTTTTTTATAACTATGAAACAATGTCTGATATTTCATATTGTGATTTTATGGGGGTTTATGATTTAATAAAATATATTTATGTAATTTAAATATTGGATGTTAGCGATTTAAATCAAATCAATCAAATCAAAACCATTTTTTTTCGTAAATGCTGTGCATTTACAATTGGGAACTTTACATACAAATTACAGTACATTTATTACAAAAATGCACAACAGCGGCACAGCGCGATGACATTGTCGTTGTCCGAATCACAAAGTTTATTTGTAACAACTTGCACAAAAGCATTACAGTAATGACTGGACTGAACAGTTGCTCAGCAGTGAACTATGTGTTAAATATAGCAGTGTTAAATTTATAGCTGTGTTATAGCATAGCAGTGTTAAATTTATAGCTGTGTTATAGCATAGCAGTGTTAAATTTATAGCTGTGTTATAGCATAGCAGTGTTAAATCTATAGCTGTGTTATAGCATAGCAGTGTTAAATCTATAGCAGTGTTAAATCTATAGCTGCGTTATAGCATAGCAGTATTAAATCTATAGCTGTGTTAAATCTATAGCTGCGTTATAGCATAGCAGTGTTAAATCTATAGCTGTGTTAAATCTATAGCTGCGTTATAGCATAGCAGTGTTAAATCTATAGCTGTGTTAAATCTATAGCTGCGTTATAGCATAGCAGTGTTAAATCTATAGCTGTGTTAAATCTATAGCTGCGTTATAGCATAGCAGTGTTAAATCTATAGCTGTGTTAAATCTATAGCTGTGTTATAGCATAGCAGTGTTAAATCTATAGCTGTGTTAAATCTATAGCTGCGTTATAGCATAGCAGTGTTAAATCTATAGCTGTGTTATAGCATAGCAGTGTTAAATCTATAGCAGTGTTATAGCATAGCAGTATTAAATCTATAGCTGTGTTAAATCTATAGCTGTGTTATAGCATAGCAGTATTAAATCTATAGCTGTGTTATAGCATAGCAGTGTTAAATCTATAGCAGTGTTATAGCATAGCAGTATTAAATCTATAGCAGTGTTATAGCATAGCAGTATTAAATCTATAGCTGTGTTAAATCTATAGCTGCGTTATAGCATAGCAGTATTAAATCTATAGCTGTGTTATAGCATAGCAGTGTTAAATCTATAGCAGTGTTATAGCATAGCAGTATTAAATCTATAGCAGTGTTATAGCATAGCAGTATTAAATCTATAGCAGTGTTAAATCTATAGCTGTGTTATAGCATAGCAGTATTAAATCTATAGCAGTGTTATAGCATAACAGTATTAAATCACACCCTTCCAGCTCTGAGACTAATCTGGTGGCTTTCCTCTGAACACTGTGAACTTTGTTCCCCTCACTGAGCTCATCTCTTGAAGGGTAATGTGTCGAAGGTTCGTTAACATTTCTAAAAGTGTATAATTCACCAACTCTTATCTCCAGATGTATTTTTTTTATCTTGTGGTCTTTTGCATCACTTTGCATGATATGGGAGTAAAAAAAAAACTTGCATGTAGTTTAGCGCCTGATGTCTTTTTAGTTTCTTCAATATCAGTATTACATTTGCCGTCTTTCAACTCCCTGGTAATTTTCTTATTTCTAGAGACGTGTCACGAATCATTACAAGTAGCTACAACAACATTCATTTTTTTTTGTATCTAAGTGTACAGGGTGAAATTCCTGTCAGGTGTCCCGTTCTTGCTTCATCTATAATTATTTCAATGGCCCCTAAATCTAGGCACTTCCCCTTTCTCCGATGGTAAGACCTCTTGGAATCTCCCGCTGAGTTCCTGACCCACAGCCCGACATTCTTAGCGAGCCTTGACGAAATATATACACCTCTGTTCATTTACTGATGTTTTTCCACGCGAAATCTGTAATTATATCCGTTTTTGTAACTAATCCGGTTTGTGTGTGACAACATACTAAGAAGGTTAGGTGAGGTCGGTGTTTTCTATGAAGCTTTTCAAGGTAAACTAAAATATTCACAATCAATTAGTATGTCACATATGCACCTATTAAATAAGCCAATATTGACTTTAAGCAAGTGCGAGAACGGGTGGGGGGTGGGTTACGGGGGGTTGGGAGGGTCTAGGAACAATTACACAGTACTGTGATGGCGGGAGCCGCCCCGCACCCCTCCCCCACCCCAATCACAGACGTTGCCTCACCCTCCTCTACCCGCTGCTCAGTTACGCAGTGACTGTGGGGGCATTCATCGCCTTGATTAACTCCTGGGAGTGCTATGGTCAGCGCCAGGGGTCGCTAGGGACGGTCTGTGTCTTTGATCTTGGAGACGTTGTAGCCGCCTGCCACCTGCCCTCTTTCTGCCCCTGCCAACCCCCTTACCCCCCCTTCCATGCCACCTCCCCTTACCTCCCCTTCCCTGCCAACCCCTCCCCCTCCGCCACCTCCCCTTCCCTCCCCTTCCCTGCCAACCCCTCCCCCTCCGCCACCTCCCCTTCCCTCCCCTTCCCTCCCCTTCCCTGCCACCCCCTCCCCCTCCGCCACCTCCCCTTCCCCATTCTTTTTTTAGGCATTAAACGCCACCAGCGAATGTTTTATGATTCCTTAATTGCAATAGAACACCCACCTGTCCTCGCTCTGTCAGCGTCGACACCCACCTGTCCTCGCTCTGTCAGCGTCGACACCCACCTGTCCTCGCTCTGACAGCGTCGACACCCACCTGTCCTCGCTCTGTCAGCGTCGACACCCACCTGTCCTCGCTCTGTCAGCGTCGACACCCACCTGTCCTCGCTCTGTCAGCGTCGACACCCACCTGTCCTCGCTCTGTCAGCGTCGACACCCACCTGTCCTCGCTCTGTCAGCGTCGACACCCACCTGTCCTCGCTCTGTCAGCGTCGACACCCACCTGTCCTCGCTCTGTCAGCGTCGACACCCACCTGTCCTCGCTCTGTCAGCGTCGACACCCACCTGTCCTCGCTCTGTCAGCGTCGACACCCACCTGTCCTCGCTCTGTCAGCGTCGACACCCACCTGTCCTCGCTCTGTCAGCGTCGACACCCACCTGTCCTCGCTCTGTCAGCGTCGATTACAGTTTTTGATGCGCTTCCTTTGATGTTAAACACCTGGAGGGAATATTTGTGCTAGCAGCTGGACTACCCTTGAAGGTTTCTCCGTTTTGTCCTCTGTGAAGCGGTAGATGCGTCATTACCCGCTTCACCCGGATATAATCGACAAAGGACCCCCAGAAAGTTCCAATATAGGCAGTGATGGACCCCCAGAAAGTTCCAATATAGGCAGTGATGAACCCCCAGAAAGTTCCAATATAGGCAGTGATAGACCCCCAGAAAGTACCAATATAGGCAGTGATGGACCCCCAGAAAGTTCCAATATAGGCAGTGATGGACCCCCAGAAAGTTCCAATATAGGCAGTGATGAACCCCCAGAAAGTTCCAATATAGGCAGTGATGGACCCCCAGAAAGTACCAATATAGGCAGTGATGGATCCCCAGAAAGTACCAATATAGGCAGTGATGGACCCTCAGAAAGTACCAATATAGGCAGTGATGGACCCTCAGAAAGTACCAATATAGGCAGTGATGGACCCCCAGAAAGTACCAATATAGGCAGTGATGGACCCCCAGAAAGTACCAATATAGGCAGTGATGGACCCTCAGAAAGTTCCAATATAGGCAGTGATGGACCCCCAGAAAGTACCAATATAGGCAGTGATGGACCCCCAGAAAGTACCAATATAGGCAGTGATGGACCCCCAGAAAGTACCAATATAGGCAGTGATGGATCCCCAGAAAGTACCAATATAGGCAGTGATGGACCCTCAGAAAGTACCAATATAGGCAGTGATGGACCCCCAGAAAGTACCAATATAGGCAGTGATGGACCCCCAGAAAGTACCAATATAGGCAGTGATGGACCCTCAGAAAGTACCAATATAGGTAGTGATGGACCCTCAGAAAGTTCCAATATAGGCAGTGATGGACCCCCAGAAAGTACCAATATAGACAGTGATGGATCCCCAGAAAGTACCAATATAGGCAGTGATGGATCCCCAGAAAGTACCAATATAGGCAGTGATGGACCCCCAGAAAGTACCAATATAGGCAGTGATGGACCCCCAGAAAGTACCAATATAGGCAGTCATGGACCCTCAGAAAGTACCAATATAGGCAGTGATGGACCCTCAGAAAGTACCAATATAGGCAGTGATGGACCCCCAGAAAGTACCAATATAGGCAGTGATGGACCCTCAGAAAGTACCAATATAGGCTCTAAATGGCCTTTACAGGTTACCAACTTTTGATAATGTCGAGTTGATATATATATATATATATATATATATATATATATATATATATATATATATATATATATATATATATATATATATATATATATATATATATATATATATATATATATATATATTGATTTTTTGCTGGTTATATTCTTTAACTTCAAGGTCCTCAATGGCTACAATAATAGATGTTGTTACTCATTAGCTCACTATGTCCTTCTGGAGTTTTGTAATTGATGGCTTAAGTTGATGGCGTTTCATCAACTTATCGTTGTTGTTATAGATTCAGCTACTCGGAACAAGTTCCAAGTAGCACGGGCTATGGTGAGCCCGTAGTGGACTTACCTGGCACAGGAGCGGGGCTGTGTAGACTGTGGGGGCATCAACTTATCATTCGTCATCCAGCGCGAGGGATGGAAGAGAGGGAGGGAGAGATAAATTGGGAAGAAGGAGAAGCAAGAAGGAGAGGATGTGGGAGGAATATTGAAGGGAAAGATAGCCTGGGGTAAAGAGGAAGGGAAGGTAGGAGGGATGGAGGGGATAGTAAAGGAGGGATGGTGGTGCTTGAGGAGGAAGAGGATGGAAAAGATCAAATATTATTTTAGGTACCCATATCAAATGTTGTTTTTAGGAAAATATTGTCGGGACTTGAATAGCAAAGATTCAGTTCCAATACTATTTCCAGACCCAGTAATAATGTTTTAAGCTCACGCCCAATAAAACTTATTGTTTTATTGGGCTTGAGCTTAAATAAAAATAATAATGGGCCCAATAAAAATAAGATGCAAGCTCAATAATATATTTTGCAGGCTCAGAAATAATTAAGGTGTCACTTCCAATTAGTAAAGTTTTCGTCAACTCATAAAATAGATTTAGGGAAACCATATAGATGCCCACAACAGAGATGAGACAACACACACACACACACACACACACACACACACACACACACACACACACACACACACACACACACACACACACACACCTGTTGATTGACGGTTGAGAGGCAGGACCAAAGAACCAGAGCTCAACCCCCGTAAGCACAATTAGGTGAGCACACACACACACACACACACACACACACACACACACACACACACACACACACACAAGCGTCTTCCAGTTAACAGAGAACATAAAGACAGTTCTCGCTCTAATACCAGTCGACGAAAGTCTATTGACTGACAGGATCTGTTCTTAGAGGAATCGTCAAGATCTGTCGTTAAGAGACGCAGCTGTTTGCACGTGTGAAGGGCACGTCCCTGGCGTCATCACTAGGGGTGACGTGAGGGGGGGGGGAAATGCCTGTCAGCGTATACCATATATATATATATATATATATACCATATATATATATATATATATATATATATATATATATATATATATACTATTTTTCTAATAAACCAAGTTTTAATGAATTTTTATATTTTCCTAATTTTATTTTTATGAAATGATAAAGCTATCCATTGAATTATGTACAAGTTCATTTCGTTTAATTTGAGTTAAAACTAACGTAGATATAACCTAACCTAACCTAACATAACTAACACTTAACCTAACCTAAACTTGTTAGGTTAAACTTTCACTGAAGAAAAACATATGGAATATCGAGAAGATTCGTGCCTGAATGAAACATAAATCTAAACTTTCTGTCGATTTGAACGAAATTATTATATTATATATATATATATATATATATATATATATATATATATATATATATATATATATATATATATATATATATATATATATATATATATATGTCGTACCTAGTAGCCAGAATGCACTTCTGGCCTACTATGCAAGGCCAGATTTGCCTAATAAGCCAAGTTTTCCTGAATTAATATATTTTCTCTAATTTTTTTCTTATGAAATGATAAAGCTACCCATTTCATTATGTATGAGGTCATTTTTTTTTATTGGAGTTAAAATTAACGTAGATATATGGCCGAACCTAACCAACCCTACCTAACCTAACCTAACCTATCTTTATAGGTTAGGTTAGGTTAGGTAGCCGAAAAAGTTAGGTTAGGTTAGGTTAGGTAGGTTAGGTAGTCGAAAAACAATTAATTCATGAAAACTTGGTTTATTAGGCAAATCGAGCCTTGCATAGTAGGCTGAGAAGTGCGTTCTGGCTACTAGGTACGACATATATATATATATATATATATATATATATATATATATATATATATATATATATATATATTTAGGGGTACCACCACTGGTTTAATTAAAGGGACCCACATCCTCGAAGAAGAAAATAAATAGTGTTCAGAGAAGACCTTGTGGATTCTCACTGAATACTTTAATATATATATATATATATATATATATATATATATATATATATATATATATATATATATATATATATATATATAATTTGTATACATAGCCATATTCAATCCAGCTTTAATCCTGGTCACGTTATGAAGATAAAAACAAGTTAATTTCTGTATGTAATATTTTTGTTCCAATCGCGTGACTTAAATATGTCCTTTGAATATGTGTTTTTCCATAATTATTATAAATATCATATAGATTCCACAAAGCAAAGCGGTGTTAGGACTATTGCAACTAAATTGGCAGGAGATTTCAACGCTCAGTAAAAACCGATCCAGAGTACATCTATAATCTAGTAAGTCAACCCATCCTACAATGAAAGAAGTTATATAGTAATTATTGGGTCGAAAGTACCAATATTGGCAGTGATGGACCCCCAGAAAGTACCAATATAGACAGTGATGGACCACCAGAAAGTACCAATATAAGCAGTGATGGACCCCTCAGAAAGTACCAATATAAGCAGTGATGGACCCCTCAGAAAGTACCAATATAGGCAGTGATGGACCACCAGAAAGTACCAATATAGGCAGTGATGGACCACCAGAAAGTACCAATATAGGCAGTGATGGACCACCAGAAAGTACCAATATAGGCTGTGATGGACCCTCAGAAAGTACCAATATAGGCAGTGATGGACCACCAGAAAGTACCAATATAGGCTGTGATGGACCCCCAGAAAGTACCAATATAGGCAGTGATGGACCACCAGAAAGTACCAATATAGGCAGTGATGGACCCCTCAGAAAGTACCAATATAGGCAGTGATGGACCCTCAGAAAGTACCAATATAGGCAGTGATGGACCCCCAGAAAGTGGATTTGTGTATTGCTGAATGTGGACAATACAAAAACACTTTTTTTTTTATCCGGGACAAATATATGACCTAACCTGACTTAACCTCTCCTAGCAATCTTGGCCCTAATACATGATATCTAAGGTCTAACATAGTACACATGTGCTATATTATACATAGGAATATATAAGTTTGGTTTTTATATTTTTTTTCGGGCTCTTTACAATTAAAATTACAAAAAGTAATCCACCGGCGATTATCACTACATACTAGTGCTCTGAATCAGTTGTGAAGGATGGGATGAGTAAGGTATATGGGTTAAATGGGAAGGGGGAGAGAATGGGAAGGAGGGCACTATAAAGGGAGACTTAACTGGGATGGGTGAAAGGAAAGAAGAGGAAAGAAAGAGCTATGATAAATGATTATTTCTGACACGGAGGAAATTGTTGAAAGGCAGTTAGGAGAATCAATACTTTAGAGTGGCAGATGGGGTCGTCAGAACGACGACTGAGCAAGGAATGGTGGAAAAATAGAGCCGCCCCGTCCCCCTTTTACCTACACTTCAACTCTACACCAAATACATTATAAACTTCCATATATACCCGATGGGATACACCCTCTAACCTCTTGGATCCAGTACACCAGCTTGGCGTTCTCCTTGTATCCCTATCCCTATACTTCAGTCGTTCCTATTCATTTCCCCCCGTTCCATCCCAAATCCTTATCCTGACCCCCCTACCAAGTGCTATATAGACGTAATGGCTTGGTGCTTTCCCCCCTGAAAATTCCCTCCCTCCTGTATCGTAGTTTTGTGATGCAAATTTGGCCTAATAGGCGGGTGTGGTTGTGACGTAGCAGGTTGTAACGAGGCCTGGTGTCTCAATTACCATCCTGCTTCGAGCAAATTTCCAATCTGTCTGGCTAAAAGGCCTTTGGCCGAGACCCCGGTGCTATAGGCCTCTGGACTGCGACATGATTACACGCGCAAAAGTCATGTGATGAGTCTCCCCCTTTAACCACGAAAGAAAACGAAACTTGAAACTCTTGAGAGCTTAGTCGTGCGTGTTTTAATATATAAAAAATGTGAAGAATAAAGAATGTCCCGCTTTGTTGTCCACGGTGATCACACGTCGTTTATAAATAGTGTTAAACCGTATAGATCGGTCAAAGGCTTCCTTTGCCTTAAGACTTCCTTTAGTAAACTGCTTCGTTAGGCTTCCTTTGTTCGCTAACACCCCCCCCCCCCTGCCCCTCAAACACCCCCCCCTACCCCCCACCTCCTCCCACCAATCTTTCACAGCCTCGCTGAGAATTTCCTCCCCTTGTCATTGTCTCCTCCCACGTTACTTCCATGCACCCACCCACTGGTCTCTGGTCTCTCTCTCTCTCTCTCTCTCTCTCTCTCTCTCTCTCTCTCTCTCTCTACACACAGGTGGGTACAAGAGAAAAAAACAGAAGGTTGTTAGCAGGCTGGTGTGTTCCCAGTCAATCCTCCCCGGGTTTTGTCACGGGGCGAGACAAAATGTGTGTGTGTGTGTGTGTGTGTGTGTGTGTGTGTGTGTGTGTGTGTGTGTGTGTGTGTGTGTGTGTGTGTGTGTGTGTGTGTACTT